GGGGGGGTCAGGAAGATTTGGGGTGTGCACTGGGGGATCAGGGGGATTTGGGGGGGTCCAGAGGGGTCCCGAGGTGAGGGGCAGGGGGTCAGCAGGTGCCCACCCAGCAGGAAGAAGGTGTCGTGCTGGTCCCTTGCCGGGTGCTGCTGCGGCTGGAACAGCGCGTCGAAATTCCAGAAGGAGCTCTCCACGAAGTTATCCGTGCGCATCTCCGTGAACCTGGGCGGCGTCCAGGACCGCCTCAGAACGGTGGGAGAAAACCCCTCCCCCCATCTCTGAGCCCCCCCGAGCCCCCCCACTCACCCCATCTCCAGGAAGATCTGGCGCAGCTCCGAGCGCACCTTCAGCAGCGGGTGCAGGTGGCCGCAGGCCGGGGGCAACCCCAGCGAGGAGAAATTGTAGGCTTTGAAGGGCAGCCGGCGCCAGGAGCCTCTGCAGGAGGGGTCGGGGGGGTCACAGCAGGGTCACCCCGAGGTGACAGAGGGTCCTGGGGGGGGTCGAGGGGGTTGGGGGGCACCTACGTGGCGATCATCTCCGGGGTCAGCTCCGTCTCCGGCCGCGCCACGGCCGTGCTGAAGGCGCTGCCTTTGCGGATCCAGAAGGATTTGAGGGTCCTGAGGGGGCGTTGGGAACGATTCAGAATCCCTTACATCCTCGTCGGTCGCTTTAATTAGCGTTAATCACGTTAATTAGCTTGATGTTTCTTTCATTGAACGTTTCGCCCGCGCGGGTTTTGCGCAGAGTCTTTAACCGGACCTTTAGAGTTTGATTTTGTTGAGATTAAGCTCGGTAAGCTTCAATAAATGAAAGAAAAAAGGGTTTGAAAATGGCTCAGACGGGGTTTTGAGTTTGTGGCCCTTTGAGAAGTTGAATGTTCCCAGTTGGACAAAAAAATAACAAAAAGAGTAAAGAATAGAGATAAACCCGAAATGAAAACCCGTAAATCCACAGGCAACAAAAAAAGCGTTAATCCGTGAATAGAACTGTGCAGTCTAGAAGTAATAAAATATTCATTTGTTAATTTTTAAATATTAATTAATTTTTTTTTTTTTTTATATTCTCTTCTTACTCACACTTCCAGGAGCAGCTTCCTCCTCTTGAGCTCGGCGCGGTGGCGCTCGGGCAGGGCCTGGGCTCTCCCCGCCCTCACCTGTCCCAGGTGCTCCTGCACCGTGTCCTGCACCGAGGGCACCTGGGGGGGCCCAGCAGGGACCCTCGGGATCCCCCCAGATCCAGGGATCCCCCTCCCCAGACGTTCCCCGGTTCCCGGGGACCCCCGGGACCCCCAGGCATCCCTTCCTGGGACATTCCCGGTTCCTGGTGACCTCTGTCCATCCCCCCCCGGGACATTCCCGCATCCCAGGGACCCCCGGGCATCCCTTCCCGGGACACTCCCGGTTCCTGGGGACCCCCGTCCATCCCTTCCCGGGACATTCCCGGTTCCTGGGGACCCCCGGGCCTCCCCCCCGCGACATTCCCGGTTCCCGGTGACCTCTGTCCATCACCCCCCGGGACATTCCCGCATCCCAGGGACCCC